AGATCTACTGAGATACAGTTACAGTGTATGAGTTTTGTTTATATTCATATTTGTAAACTATATTTTATTCTCTCTTTGCCCTGTGTGTGTGTGAGAGAGAGAGAGATAAACAAAGAGAGAGAGAAAGAGATTCTCTTACATTTAAATTCCATATAAAAAATACCATCAGTTCCCGTCTAGGAATAAAATTCTTCTTCGTCTTGCCAGTACAAATTCCTCAACTTGTGTTTGTGTTTTGCTCCTCTCTCCACCTGCTGGTCGATCACGGCATGTAATGTTGACCACTTTACTCTTGACCAGGGTTCCCCAAACCCCTGGTCTGGGGACCAATACCAGTCCGTAGGTCATTTGGTACCGGGCCGCAGTCGGACACAGTGAAAACATGAACTTCAGTTTTACTGATTTACTTCACGTCATATCCCTAAGATAATCCGTCAATGTTTCAGACCAACAGGTCAAAGGTCATTCAGACTCTGACACTAACAGAAGAAAGTCTGGAAGATGTTTTATTTTGAAAATGTAAATATCCTTTAACAATGGTATGGTATTACTGGTCCACAGTAACGACTGATACTGGTACAGAACCGGTTGGAGACCGCTGCTTTATACTCGTTAATCTTTGACCCTGTGATGGTGACGCATTTCTGACAAATAAAAACAAACCAAAAACCCAAACCTCCCAGAATGCTGTGCAGCTTCACTCTTCTGCTCTGACTGAACCGCAGCTGCATGTAAATGCACTTTTGTTAATTCTCCATTTGACGGTGAGCCGCGCCGCCGTGTTTACAGGCTGCTGTAACAAACGGCGCTTTAGTAAATGCGCGGTGACACGGTGGCTGATGTTCCTGCTGGTTATTATTGGCAGCAGAGACTCTCTGGGGTTAGTGCAGCGTCTTTTGCTATTTCTGAGTGTGAGTGTGGAGTCTATTTTCACAATTGCCATGGAAACCATTGTATTTGTGGCAGCGGTGATTGGTGCTGTCGGCCTGCGCGAGACTCTGCTATTTTTGTTATGAGTCAACACCTGACACACACACACACACACACACACACACACACATACATTAGAACTGCAGGATATGTGCCTGTACATGTTTAGTCTTATCTGTTCGCCCAGAAATAGCCAGACTGTTGAAATACGTCTAACGTGGACCAGTAAATGCAGTGACCAGTAATGTCGGGGGTTTGATCCCCATCTCTGCGACGTACGTAGTTTGCACCTAGACTACAGCAATTTTGCAGCCTATGAAATGATAAATATATTTATTTGAAAATGTACTTTATTTTTGTTAAATGTAAAAAAACCTTGTGAAACTGTTATAAAATTATAATTGAGTCCTAAAATAAATGTAATATAATAATAAAAAATATTAATAACGATAATAATAATAATATTATAAATAATAATAATGTTACAAATAATAATAATATTATAAATAATAATAATGTTACAAATAATAATAATATTATAAATAATAATATTATTACAAATAATAATAATATTACAAATAATAATAATATTATAAATAATAATAATATTACAAATAATAATAATATTATTAATAATAATAATATTAAATTATGTCATGCCAGATGCATGTGCACACAACAAAATGTGACCTCTACCTTTAACCCACCACCTTAGTTAGCATTGGGCAGCTCGAGCTGAGCCCCCACGGAGCAGTGCGTGGGGACGCTGCCATGCTCAGTGGCATCGCAGTGCCACCTGGTGGCCGGTGGAGTCAGACCTGCGACCTTCTGGAAAACAAGTCGTCTTCCCTTAACCACCACTGTCCTTACACTACTACAGCGCTGTATTTATCAATCGATTCATGCACGTGGCAAACGTGACGATTTGATCCGCGGTCGGCGGCGGCGACGGCGGGCGGCCGAACGGGGGAAGGATGGTCA